CATCGCACTCAAATGAATCTGAGCTGGGACTTGGCTCCTACGCCTCTTTAAAATGGTGTTATCTTTCTTGTGTCTTATCGGATCGAGATGCTGCTTCAGTGATGTTGCGCTCCTGCGTGCAGCGGTGAACCAGCGAGGAGGATGCCGAGTACCGCCTGTTGCAAGCAGGCGGGAGGATTAGTTCTGCTTGAAGGGTCTGACACAGATCCACATGTCCGAGAGGGGGGACAGTGAGCATGTGAATTGGGCATCAGAAATAGGAAAGCTTGCCCTCCCTCTTTGTGTAGATGAGGAGGAGGAAATCTGTATAAGAAGCTCTTTGTGTGCGCTTATCTATATACTGTCTCATTTAGACTGAGATTTTCCCACATCTGCTCCCGTGCATGAAACATCAGACTGAGACACATTGCTGTACTGAAATGTTTGGCATTAGAAAGCTATTTTTTGTTGTCGTTGCCCTCCTTTTTTGGGCCTTTTTATGATGTTTCGTTCTTTAACTCTCTTATGAGTGAGTACTGCCATAAAGTAAGAGTGAAACATCTGCTTTTCTAAATGTTCCAGCAAGGCAAAACTGTTTCAATGGGTTGTGTGTTTGAAGCATGATACCCAGTTGGGTACAACTCAGCTTTGAGTCTGTAAATAGAAGTTTTAATCTCTGTTCTGGTGTTTCATTAGCTAGGTTTTCATGTGGGACAGAGGCCCACGGTAGCCCAAGATAGCATGTGTCATATACGTGGCCTTTTTCTAGAAGTGTTTGCTTTAGTGAACTTGCATTCATAGTGAGCTTTGTGGCTTTGTGTAACAGTGCTACTCTGTCTGGCACTAAAATCACAGTTGGTAAATATCTCTTCTCTAAAATCTGTTCATCACATGTTCCTCCGCTTGTCTCCAGAGCTGCAGTAAAGCTATGCGTGAGATCCGAACCCAAAGAGTGGTAGCTTCAACGAGCACACTAATACTTCTGTAAAAGTAGATAAACCGGTGGGTCACTGCTGTGCATCGTTCCCGTTACTTGGATTCATACCATGCTATGGTGAAACATTTTCTAATTGCTCCTTTTCTGGTAAATCTTCTCTCGAGGGGTAGGATGGTGGCTGGGGGATGCAGTAAACTGTCCCTTCTGGCTAGTCAAGGAGCTGGAGGTAGATAGGCAGCTCCAGTGTTGGAAGACCCCGAGAAGCTCTTTCTGGAACTCCACTTTTCACAAAAGCTGCCACAGGGTTGCATCGGTTTATTCTGAGGAGGTATATTTAGGTCTGGAAGAGTAATTACACAGCTTTGAGTAAGTCTCAAGTCAGAAGAGGGCAAAGCTTAGCTTGGCAGGCATTCAACCTTCTGGGAGTCTTTTTGCAAAATGGTACAGACGGCTTTTTTAAAATAAAACTTCTGAAGACCCGTTGAATTGGCACCTAGTACCAGGCATTAGTCTGATCTATTTCTGGCTTTCCAAATACAGAGTAAAACTTAAAATTAGACACTTCTGGTCTTCAGCTGTTAGTTTCTGCTTTGCTTTTAGGTGCCTTGTGATTAGGATGGAAGGAAACGCCTCTCGGTGCAGCCCTCACCACGCTTCTTGTGTGTGTTTGGTTTCTGTGTGATGGTTCCTAACTGTACATCAGAGAATATTCTAGGGCTAAATACAAAACTGCTCCTCATCTGAGTCCACTTTTTTTCCCTATTTTAGTGTTCTCTAATTACCAGCCTAATGACAGCTTGATGGGAGGTGGATAGACAAAGCCCATTGCTTCCCCACATGCCATCTTTTGGAAATGTGGAACTAATTTTTTTAGAGTTTGGCTTGAAACAATAGTGCTGTCTCTTGCTTGTCTAACGATACAGACCCAGCCGCCACCCTTAAAAGCCACTCTTTAAAGTAAAAAAGAAAGTTGAAAGTCATTGTTGAATGGTTGTGAAACTTGTGACTGGAAAGCAGCTCTGCATTTTATCTTGCAAACTCCTTTCCGCCCTGTGCAGACTGTTCCAAAGACATAAAAAGCCCCAAGCTATGCTTGCACCTGCAGCTTGGGTTCGTGTTCGCGGTGCTGTGGGTAACAAACCCCCCCCAAATCCTTTTCCTAATCCCTTGAGCCGTGTGGTATCTACAGCAGTTTTGGAAAGCCAACATACATCCTTAATAAGAAGCAGAATGTCGTTAGCAGAGCTTATGCTAACAGCAATTAGCTATGAAGGAGCTCTTTATTACTAATCAGTACTTTTTGCCACGTTTTGAAGTAATTAGCCTTCATTGGACTTAGACAGCATCCAGCAGATGCTTAATCATAGCTGCATTGTAATACGAGTGAGAACTCATGAGTAAGGAAACTCGCACACTAGAGCAGTTCTTGCCGATCCCACTGACAAAGCAGCTGCAGGGAGCCAGGCGCATGCGATGGGTGTTCGGGAGCTGGAGCTTAGTCACTTAAATATTCGGTTGTGACAGGAGTTAGAGCTCTGAGCCACACTTGTGAATGAGGTTTGCAGCAATGTGCTGTTGTACCCGTCTGATCTGAAGATCATTCACTTGTAGCTGCCTTCAAGGATTCAGCTTGAAGCTCTGGTGTCGTTAGCAGAATTAGCATTAGCCTTGCTCTCTAGAAAATAGCAGTTCCTTTTTAAAGACAACTAATGCTGCTAAAATATTCAGTGTTTTCTGCATCCCGTGTACCTTCCTTGCGTTTCTGAAGCACGTGTTCGTGAGCATTTTTCTATTCTGTTGAATTCCTTTTTTCACCTGTATCTGAGTTTTCCTTCCTTTAGGTCATTTGAGATAACTACTATTAAGTCAGGTTTAAGGCACCTCACATCTGAAATTTAACTTGCCTAATTTGGCTGGTTCGGTGAATATATTATTATAGGCAAAGCCTTTTTAATCTCTCTGGAAGTGTTTCTTCTCCTGTCTGAAGGAGCTGGAGTAAGTTGAGTGGAGCAATGAGAACCAGATCTCATCTTGAATTAATCCCAGATTCAAAGGTATTTTCGGCACTTAGATGTCTCACTTTTCAATGACTTCAATAGCTAGCCTTAGTTCTGTCTGAAAGGAGTTTAAGTTCACTGCCTTGAAGGAATTGCTGCCTTCTGTTTTCCCACGTTTTAAACAGGGATGATCAGCCCTTATCTGCATTACAGAGGATTACAGGTTTCAGTTATTTGTCAGCTACGTTTTCTGTTCTCTTCTGTTTGTCTTGGCCAGCACATTCAGGTCCCACAAAATAGCTCAGAGGACTAGAGGGGACCTCCTGGGTCAGGATCCAGTCCCTGGTATCATAGAATCACAGAACAGTTTGGGTTGGAAGGGACCTCTAAAGGCCATCTAGTCCAACCCCCCTGCCATGGGCAGGGACATCTTCAACTAGATCAGGTTGCTCAGAGCCCCGTCCAACCTGACCTGGAATGTTTCCAGGGATGGGGCATCCACCACCTCT